AGTTTGGGAATGCATTCAATGCATTACCGAAGGCTTAGAGGAGACCTAATCCTAATCTACCGTATCTTGACTGGAAAGGTTGGTCCAGATTTATCTTGACTATTCAGTCCCGCTAGATTGTCTGTTCTTCGCGGTCATTCGTTGAAGCTGGACAAATCGCGGTCCGATCGGTTTAGGGCGGAAATCCGGCTATTACGCAGAGTCATCGACCGCTGGAACGTGCTTCCGGAAAGTGTTATCAGGGAATCTACGGTTAAGGGGTTTGAGCTGCAACTTGACGCTCTTGGGTGGCAACACGAAACCTTTCCATTTTCCTGATTAACTCGCATCTTCGTACTTCGATTTTCTTTTCTCTACTTTTCTTCATGTATTGGTATTATTTTCTTATTTAAGTGCACTTCCCTATTCTGTACCTTCGATTTCTCTTCTTATCCATTGCTTACTTCACGTGACTGCCACAGCAGGGACTGCTAGGGCAGGAAACGTGGGCACTAACTGGTTGGCCCGGGTGCGATACGGGTGTTTTCGTTTTAGATTCATCAAGAACTGAGCACTTCATCAATTCCTGGCTCAACGATCCACTCCAGATGGAACACTCACGGGATTGTCCTATCGTTCCAGTCCCCATCTAAACTGAATTGAACTGAACGAGGCCTGGATTGATAGGGGTACATCATTAAAACACTAGCGATTAGAGAAGGAAGCAAACGCTACGGCGGTAACAAGAAAACAGGTATGGAACCAGCTCTGAAAAGGACCAGTAAAAGAAGAATAGTAAATGTAGCAGCGCCAAAGATAACTAGGTATTCCACTCTAATGTAGAAATCCACTGTGGAACGTAGACTCCAAATAGACGAGTAAATTTCTGGCAGCCTGGTAAAGTAATAATTTTGGAGCGGCACACTATTTTAAGCCCAGGCATAGACTACTTGGTATACAGTGTTGAAAACAGGACAGCAAGCAGACAGCACTACTTGCAACAGCTGTAGCGAGAAAACTGTCGTACAGCCAGCTCTGGAAGTGAGCAGCGTTAAGAGAATAATACAAGCAGCTCCGCCCGAAGATGCTAAGTGTTTCACTCCGAGGTTTGCTTCAACAGTAGGACAAGCAACTCTAATAAGTCCGTAAAATGAGTACAGGTGCTTGCCGGATTTATTTTAAAGCAGAAGCCGCACACTATCTAGGGATGACACTAACACATAGTCATTCAATGTTGCAACCGGGAGCGATAATAGACGGCACTACCTACTACAGCTATGACGAGAGAACAGTTGCAGAACGAGCTCTGCAACTGGCCTTTGGCCGTGGAATAAATTGTGCAGCAGCGCCAAACGATAATACGTGTTCCACTCCAAGGTAAACTTCTACAGGGAGGTATATACGTCAAATAGACGGTAGAGCAGAGTGAGAGTGCGTGTCGGATTAATACAGAAGCATGCGTCGATCGCTATCTGAAAAAGAGGCATATAATGATTGGTATTCAAGGTTGAAAGCTGGAGTACCGTGAGATGGGACCATATAGTATAGCTGTAGTGAGGAAACCGTTGCAGGGCCAACTCAGAAAGGGACGTGGGGTAGCAGAAGATTAGGTGCTGCAGCGCCAAACAATACTTAGTATTCCACTTTAAGTTGGCTACAACAGTGAAAAATACAAAACAGACGGCAGAGAAGAGTGATGATAGAAGCCGGCTTTAGTTTGAACCAGAAGCTAGAAGCTATCGTAATATGAGACATGGATTAATAGGTCACCAAACGTAAGACTGAAAAGCGAATGGAAGCGATTTCCTACTCTCGCTGTAGTGAGAAAACAGTTTAGATGCAGCTTTAAACAAGCCTATAGATAACCGGATAAGATGAGCGTCGACGCTAAAATATATTGTGTTCCATCCCAGGGAGGCTTTTAAAGTGAAATATACGAATCAGATATATGGCAGAGAGGAGGGTGCAGGGGTTGGATTGACAGTGAACGAGGAGTCGTTAGGTGTCGTAGAGTAAGGCACGAACTAATGGCCGTTCAATGTAAAGAACAATAGCGAGGATGAATGGGAATAGATTTTACAGCTGTGAAGGGTTGCAAAATCATCGCTGAAAGTGAATAGGAATGCCGGATTTAGCTGGGCAGTAGCGCCAAATTATATAAGTGTTCCACTCTAAGATGAACATCCATAGTGAAAAATTCATGTCAAACAGGCGGCAGAGAAAGGCATTGTTGCTTGCTGGGTTAAATGTGCAGCAGGAGTTGCCAGCCATTTGGCTGGCTAGCCGAGCAACCTCCTCGTGGTGCCAGCTGGGTGGTTCGGGTTTAGTCCGTTCCAGCAAATAGTTTGGCGGCAGTGTTCCAGGACGTGGTGGGTTTGCGCCCGGCAAGTTTTCCCTATAAAAAGCCACAAATGTCTGCTTATCAACACTGCGACGTGGCGGACGTGACTCCCCACAAACTAAAGTCACTGGCCTGTGGATATCCGGAAAGTACTATCCAACCCACGGACATCAACCGCTTTTCTCACGTTCCTGACGATACCAAACAGTCAAAAATGCTGCGGCACACTCAAAGACACAAGCTACATCCATACACAATTACATACGTATATACACCCATACACTTACGTACACTGTTATGCCAAACATGTACCTTTTGTACATTTTTGATCACACTATGTTAGCTAAACATGATCATGTCTGTAAGGGTATGCCTCGCATTGTCGAGAATAAAAGTTTATTTATTAGGCACATACGACCGAGCAGTAAACTGGAGTGAGAAAACCGGAGAGATGTTATCGTTCGGAACTCTATTGAAAAATGCTTGCTTGCGGAGCACAAGGATAGTTTATCCACCCGCTGCTAGTCACCGAGCAGGTATGGGTAACAATAACCCGCTTAGTATGAAAAGTGTTAAATGGCGTATGTAACCAGCAACTCCTAGCCGACGACACAACGGCTAGAGGGTTAGTTGATGTGGAACGAACCTAAGACAATGGTGTCCTGGTAGTACCGACGAACGGTAGTCGCGAGGAATTCCCGCTGACCTCTAATTCCCTTCTCTTGAGGCTGCACGAGTAATTAGAACTTCCCAACCCAGACACCAGGGAGACGTATAGCAAGCGATGGTAACAGGTGAACTACAGCGCTACCATAATTTGGCGAAGGTGATTAGGATATTACCCCAAAAATTTGCCAACACGACAATTGGGTTACACCCAAAACGGGAGCCGTTTGTCGGCGACGTAGTACTAGTCGTGTCAGAAATATTACCTCGTGAACGTTGGCCACTAAGTTGCGTCGTTGATCATGAGACAAACGCTGACGGAGTAGCGCGGACAGTTTCCGTCAAGATCGCTTCAGGAGTAATGAGGGACAAGACGGTTTTCCTAGCTAGAAGGCGACGGATAGTAGGTTTTTAGTCTCGTTTTGGGTGCAGGGTAGTTATCAGGTGGAACTGTTTTCATTCCAACTCACCCATGAGATATGAAACGCCAAAGAAGGAAACGTGTTAGAGTCAAGGAGAAGGGCGACCATCATTGTGGACCTTCTGTGGTGTAAGCTTCCCAATGCCTAAGTCCTTAGCAGCTGCGAGCGCATGAAAGCTAGCATAATAGGATGGGAGCCAGAACGGCATCAGCCACTCAAGGCACAAGCCCGCAGAGGAAATTTGGAGACCGTTGTAGCGGGATCATGCATGGTTGGAAATATCAGCTAGAACACTGTAGCAGTTGGCAATGGGATTGTACTTTTTCCACCATCCAACAGACCACTCATCGTGTGTGCTCGTGCACCGAATGATGACCTTAAAAGACCCGGACAAAGTGATCCCCTGATACCCCACACAAATACTTACATTGGTAGCCGGCCAATTCTCCGTACGCTGACGCATTTCCTATGTGCTTCACTTTCATTCCTTTTCTAACGAAAGTTGACCTTAGTTGCTTCTGTCTCGTCGGTAACAGATGCCCCATATACTATGTGTTAAGTCGCTATCACCACAGTATTATAATCTAGTAACCGAATTCTTTGAGTGATGCTCAGGTTATCAACTTTGACACCATTTTTACTTTAGTGTGCGCTTTATGTACGCCCCTCACTATGTGCTTGGCACGTTGATGATTGGCCAGTGCCCTTGCTAATATTATCACACATCCATCGTGCGGTCATTTGTCCCCTGGCTATTGGCTTAAAAAGCACGTTCCCTCCGGTTGTGTAGCTGCACTTTGTTGACAAAGGTGATACACCGTGAACTTAAACAAGTGAGTAGTACCGTAGTGATTACGACCTAATTTTATTCTTCTTTTGTATCTTTTTCGACTCCTGCATCCAACCTTCGATCGGTCGGCGTTACAGTTTGTGCCATGCAAAGGTCACAGTACGGGAAAGACGAATAACTTTACATAAGGTAAAATAATTCCGCACCGATAACACAGTTTGATTGCAACACTTATCCATCTCGCATTTATTACAAAACTGACATACATGTTTTGGAAACACAACGACTGCGATTTAGTCGGTAATGTAATACATGAGAGAAAATGTGAGAATAAAAATAACCCATCTTTAGTTTTATCCGGTGGACGGTACCGTTCAGCTAAGTTGTTAATCAGTTGGTGGCGCACCTGTCTTCTATGGCATGGTAGAGAAGAAAAATGCTCACTTGCTTAGCTTACACAAATAACCGAATTGCTAGACGAAATGGCAGATAGCGCCTATCATGATGCGGTCTCGATTTGAAGCGCCTGTGATTATTATAGAGGTACGGATTTATTTGCTTACGTTGTTTCGGTACATATTCCGAAATAATTGAAGAACCAGCTACCACGTTTGGATGGTATGCTCGGGCAATAGCTATTGCTGAGAAACCCACTCATCAGCAAGCGTCAGGTTGTCTGAGAATAATGGTGCAAAATTAAGAACCCCAAGAAGCAAAGAGTTGTTTCCTGGGTGTTTCATGAATGATCCATATCACATGCACGAATGGGTGTATTTTTATTTCACAGCCTATTTGTTTAATCAAATACTCAAGGTCCAACGAAAAATTCACAGATTTGATACTGATTCCGTGTTCATTATTTCTCGGATTTTGACCACGGACATTTGTGGTCTGTTCTGAATATGATCCGCCGCCAGAATTCTTCAAAGACTGCAAAGCAACACAAATCACAGCGTATGCAACGGGGTGTGTGTTATTTATTTCGCACCATACGTGGTCAAGTGCTCTGTTAAAGTTTCATGCTGTCTAACTTTTATCTGTTCTCGATTTTATGTTTCTTTCCATTTGGCTCTCATAATATCATTTCGCCCATCATTGCTTTTGTTGTCACCTTAGATTTGTGTTCGCGTGTTGGTCCTAATTATCAAGCTGAAGTGCCCGATTTCTCAAAATGTAATGGCGACAACTACTCAAATACAGCATCGGAGCTTACAATGTGGATGCCCAACAAACAACCTACGGAAGAGCAGTTGCAGCAATATATATCATACGCTGCGAATCATAGGTAAGGAAGTGGTATGTCTAAATTTGTATTCATATTAATGCTTTCATGACGTCACATGCTTACCGTCGTTTATTTCGCGCTTACTGATCATCTTTGTCCAAGGTACACTCCCGAGGCGGCTATGCTCTTACTTCATTGGCACGATTACAACCTTTCGGGCACAATGGACGACATGCCAAATTACGTTCCAATTTCTAGTAAATGGACTAAATGCGAAGTGCGGAAGTTCCTCAAGTGCATCGATTCAAAACCTCGGAAAAACTTTGTTGAAGCCAGAAAAACGGTTGGTTAACCCTGCATATTGTGCTTTATCTTCTCTCGGTGCCTTCAGTTATGGGCGTGCGTTAATCTGCGCCAGATCTGCTACTGATAAACCATTGAGAATTCGTGGTTAACTTTGTTCAGGATAGTTACGGTTGTTACTTGTAGTAATTGGTCTTACGCATGTCGCTATCCGCCATTACACTTGTTTCCCTAAATGGCTTTTTATAGTAATTTAATAAGAGTTGAAAAAGTATTATGTACCTTTTTCGGAACTAAATCACCTGCATTATGTTGTGCTAAGCCTGTCTCTGCCACAGTTTGTTTTTATTAGGACCGAGCAGTTGGTTATGGTTACGCTAGGTTTCACCCTAATGAAGTTTTCATGAAGTGTGTAATGGGTCTCACAACTTTAGATTCACGGATATCTCCATTTTCCCCTGCGTTTGAGCCACACACCTATTCAGGACTACTGTGTTCCTCGTCCCCGCTTCGCCACTATAATTTGGGCTTTGGTTTAGTTAGTTTTAGTTACATGTTGAGAAACACTTCATGTCCTACAAAGCTCTACATTTTCCTAAAGACCTACTTATTTTCGCGCTATTTGATTAAACATCGCAGTTTCAAAATGTTCTTTTAAAAGCGCTCCTTCCTTAGTCTTGAATTCGAGTCTTATTTATGCCCATTCATCTAACACGTTTTCACAGTGTTCTACTTGGGTTTTTTGGACTGATTTTTCTTATTGCGCATGCTGTGTAAGCCACACTTATGCCCGTCACATGAGCTGTCGCTTAATATTTCCGTTCTATTGTATGTGACCCTCATACAATATCTTGACAAAATTAACATGATTGTAAAGTTTCTTTACTTTTTGTTCATAAACTAGGCTGTATACTTTTGTCCTAGGGGCAATGGTTTATTCTTTGTTGCCTTATTGGTTTTAAGCCTGATTGTTTAAAGTAAGTTTAACACACTTTGCACGTTTTTTTTATGCTTTTCACCATCGTCATCAATGTAACTGCCCTTTTCGTTCTCTCACTTGACTATCAAAACACACAACTCTGCTATCCAACTATTCTACTCATTTGTCTGCAGTCACTCTTCTTCAGTCACTCTTCTTCTTTTAACTGTATTGATCGTGTATGTGGCGTTCGCTGAACTAGCGGCAGAATCGCAGTTCCTCTCGTATCTGTTCATCGAACAAGAGATTTATGGTATTATTAAATGTCGTTTTCACGTGACCACGCAGTTACTTGATGCTTGCCTTCGTTATTTATGCATGGGTTGCATTTTCCCTCACTGGAAACACAAGGACGCTTATCGAAATTCATGAAGTGTTATTGGCAAATACAATCGCTTATTACTCTCATCTGTTGTCTTCTTTACTCTGCCTACGATACCACAAGGTTAATCTAACCCTTTTTAACACGGACTCGACATTTTCTTATGACTTTCTGCAGGACTAATGTCTAAGGATGACCTTATTCCTCTGAATGTTTGAATCTCTTCCATCCTGTGCACCGAGTACTGCTGCCTTTCATAGCTAACCTCATATTGAACATGTCTCCTTAGCAACCCAACATTTCTTAATATTCCTCATCTTTATTACTGTTCAGACCCCGGTTTTATTGTTTAACTTTCGTTAATGTTTGGTAGTGGCAATTTTGTGTTTACATCGGATGTGGCGGTTGGTTACGTTGGGGGTAATAACTCAGCTACCACGAAATTGCTTGTAAAGCAGAACTAGTTCAGACCATTATTTCTCAAGCTGGCGTTCACAGGAAGTCGTATCGAAAATTATTCGATATCTATCCTGTAATAGATCATGTTTTTGTTTCATTATGCTACACTACATGTTTTATCTACCTATGTTATGGTGTTTCGTTTTGCGCACGATATGATGCTTTCGTCTTATCTCGCGGCACTGTTTGTTTGCCACCATTTGTTTAATGTGACATACATCAGCACTAAGTCTATGCTTTGAGCCAACCTATTTTGAGGCTCTTATATGGCCTCGTAACTTGCGCAGGGCTAGCCACAGCAACGCTGCTACCATGCAGAGACTCGGACTACGCAGGTAACAGCTTAGCTGTCCTCACGGAAGCCACTACTATGTGTCAAAGCAGACTGCACAGACTCCATCTAAGCTCTCACTAATGAAGCTGCTTTGTCTACGGTTACATGCGAAACTAACCTCATGTCAGCTCTCCGCAGTACACTGTTTCTACGTGGCAACACATGTGCCATGGTAGCGTTCACATTTGTCGATAATCTATGCCTTGTGTTGTTACGCAGTTGGATTATAAATAAAAATGTGTAGAAGGTATTCTTGCGCTTTGTTGAGTCGACAAACGAACTCTTTTTATCGGGCACTCTTCCTGCAGTCGTGTGAGGTCACGCGCCCTACTTCTAGCCTCCGCTCCATTGTGCACACGTGTAGCGGCCACCTTTTTTAAGCTATGCCGATCAGGACTCACTTGGCTACTCTAACCTATAGGGTGCTATCCGGAAAAGCGTACATTCCTTCTGACTAAGTGCTTCAAAACCGCTTGGACTTTAATAACACAAGCTGAGTCAGTTTTTGGAGTTTCTCCCTTTGCCCGGATTTTTTGGCTGTGCCAATTCAGTCCTGACTTCTTTTACAACCGCCAATCCCCGAGCAACTCCTTACATACTTTTCGATGATTTTGAGCCATATATATTCAAGACCGCCTTTCCCTGGTTCCCACTTCACTACAGTAATTCGTTACGCTCTTTGCTTTTAAGAACATGTTCGATTTAAGGAATTTCTATATTTGGCTGGGCTTGAGAACAAGCACTGACCTAGTGCCTGTTTGTTTGTGAACTAGCAGATACAAGCTGGCACCCGCTTTCATAGGAAAGCGGAATGAACCGCTCAGTGCCGTTATTTCACGCATTTGGCTCCGATGGCTCGGCCACATGTTACGCATGTCAGCCCACCGACTCCCGCGACGTGCGTTGTTTGCGCGCCGTGGGTGTGGATGGAAGAAAAGGAGGGTAGCCAAGCGATGACTTGGTCGAGAGGAATGGAGACCCTCACTTCTGAGCTAGCTTCGGTTGGAGCATCTCGGCTCCCTGGTTGAGGTCCGAAAGATAATGAACACGTTTGGCTGGATACACTTGCTGACAGGCTAGGAGCCGACCTTAGTGGCGTTCGTGTTGTGAATTTCTTCGTCCCATCCCTCTTAGCCTCCCCCTCCTACTAGGATCTCACTATTTAGCCCTGAACAATTTTGTATAGTAATTTTTTGCTGCATAGTAGCCGGCTGGTAGCTTACCGGAACGATGCCCATCCGCTACCGGTAGCTCAGCTGGCTTGCAACTGTTGCATTTTTTCTTTTATGTATTGCGGCACAGTAGCTGAGGTGTTTCCTACCTCTAGCTAACCTGTATAAGGATGAGGACCCGCTTCCATAACTGTTACACATCTTAAGTGCTTCCAAGCGCTTACAACCATACTGACTACCTGTGCTCACGCTGGTTCTCCAGCTACCTTGCTTTAATCCACTATGATTTCATAAAAATTCTCTTAGATAAGACACCAGAGAGTGGGACTCGTCTGAATAACAAACCCATAGTACGCGAAGTAGGTGCTTATATGGCCGGATCCGGACTAACTTCGTGAGTCACTCTTAAGCATTTTCCGATCACTTCCCTCAGCCAGCGGATTTCGCGACTACGGATGAGGCGACCCTGAAACATGTGGTGATACCTTACTCGTGGCAGGAGTCACTAACTGACGGTTGTTTACGATTCTCGTTGCCCACTGCCACTGTAACTTATGGTCGGAGAGCCACAGCCGCAACGAAATGTTTGACTTTTCCTTTTTTGGTTGAAGCGATGCATCATCTTTGTAAATATTCGGCTTACATTGCGTAACACCACTCAGTCACGCACTCTTCTGGTGCTCCTCTTTCGAGGAGCCAGCTGCCAGTTCTGACGCGGCCATCATTGATGTTGACAAGCTTGCTCTCTTTTTGAACCAGTCCTTAATGGTCTAGATCTCTCCGCTCCGTTTTCTGAAGAAACACTTGTGACTGACACTCTTTTGGAGCAATGTCTCATCAATATCTTATCAACGTCTTATTAAATGGTCGCTGAACTTCCTTTAGTTCAAGCATATCTTAGGAAATGCCACTTCACAAGCCGAATTAAGTACTATCAAGTAAAATCTTGAAATCCGTTAATTTGAGAAAAAGACTATTGCTTGATTCAGCGAATTACGGGTTTAAAGTGTCCATCAGCTAGTTCCCAGATGCTCCTTCATTTTCCATGCGATGTCGAAAACTTACATCATTGTCATGTTTTCGTATTTACTCTGACAAGGGTTGAAGAGACGGTATTTCGTACTGAGCTCTTTGCTTTATCTCAAACCTTTGACGAGATGTCTTTGTCACTGCTCCTTGAGCTTTCAGCTATAATTTGCTCGGTCAGTAGAAGTGTACTTGTATCCCAAACAACAACTGCTCGCTTGCGCCTAGCACTGGTACTGTCATCGGTTCCTGTTCGCTTTCCATGATATCGGCGTTTAGATAACATTTGATACCCCTAAGAAGCGGCGACAATTACTAACTGCATGGAACCGTTCTAAAAGCTGCTAACCAAGCATTCAGTTAGGTCGTTTCACTAAGAGATCATATATTAACTCATCCCGCCATTTATCATACCCAATAAAATAATACTTGTCATCGTTCTGGGGATTGGATACTGAGAATCACTTGGTTGCCAATGTTCGCATACACATTACTTCACTCACTGTCAACTTGTTTTGTCACTTTTAGCTTTAGCTATCACAATTACTACACCCGTCAAGCACCCTTTGCACATTCTCCCATTTCTGAAGGCAATTCACAACACTCATTCCCTGTGCTACATGAACAGTGTGTTTTCTCTCCCTAATCGTTTGTGAATCAAGAGCAATTTTGATACAACGCATTGTGTAGGATATGGTAGGCGTTTAGAGGCTGCTGCATGTCAGAGCTCACAGACTACCTCACTGTT